ATACTCACTTCTTACTTCATTTTTCTAATTATTCTTATTGTGTGTGGATGATCTGTGGTGCTAAAGTATTTTCTGAATCCAGCCTGTTCGACAGGTTGGTAGAAGTAGAGTTTATTGATTAGGTTATGATTTTGGTAAATAGCTTGTAGAGATGGGATAGTAGAGATATTGGTAGGTAATTTTCAATACTTGCATTGTCTTCCTTCTTGAATATCAAGATAACTTCGGAGTTGTACCAATCTTGTAGAGTCTTTTCTTTGTCAATTAAAGATACCTAATTTTCAGCGTATGTTCTATTTTTCTACCACCAATTTTCAGCATCTTTTTTGTAATTCTGTAGCATCCGCGCCAAGTACTCTATTATTTAGGTTAGATGATAAATTGCGAGCGGTCTTATTTGATGGTAATTATTTCCTTGGGCAGCTACTGAAAAATAGAATTGTGAAGGCGGGTCTATTTGCAATTATACTTTATTAATAAGATAATAAACAGATTTTCATTTCCTATACCCATGGTACAAATTTTCTAAACCCTAATCCAACACTTTTCAATACAAAAATAAACAGTCCTAAATTGATGCAAACGTACAGCCACCTTCATACTGTCTCTGAGCTTGTAATGCAAATAATGCAATCAAAAAGCCTTGTATGGCAGCAAATATCCAGTTAAGTTCCGCAAAATTTTGTGGAGGGCGCGAGTGAACTTGGAGTGTTTTAAATTTTGGCGGTAAATGTCAATAGTTTAAAACTGATTAAACTAAGTAGAGAGAAAGATGACTACATATGAACAATGGACAATGGATAAGTTAAAATATCTTCTTAAGCGTTCAGTGGCCCTTAGAGAATATTTTTAAAAGTGTCAGCGTCAGCTTGTCTTGAAACCACACTTCAAACTTCAGTTTTGAGGTTAGAATTACAATCGAATTTTTATGCGCCAAAATTTAAAGAGATCCAAGTACAGAAGCGCCCTCTTCAACTCAACTGTCAATATTACATGCCATTATTATAACTTCCCATTCTATACCTGAGCGTATAAAATTCCTGAACTAGCTCACTGCCAAATCTTGTACAATACTTATACTCAAAATTGTGTACTTAACCAGAATAAATACTATCAAAACAATGAATATTTTATATAAGTTCATTTAGGCCCGAATTCACCAAAAACGCTGAAATCGCCGTTTTCGTAAACGTCGTTTATCGTAAACGACGAAAATTAAAACGCAATTTTGTTTTCCGGTATTCACTGATATGTGTGATGTGTTTTCAGCTGCAGTTTAACGAAACGGCGTTTAAGTGAATGCACAGTTTGACAACATCGGAAATAGCAAGAAATAGAAGAAAAAAGACGAGAAAATTTAGGTTATATACGTCAAGTTTCACTCAAAATTTATTGTTGCTGGTATTTTGGCAAGATAATTTGTATTGTTATTGTTAATTATCCTAAAGTAACTAAAGCATAGAAAATGGTACTAAAAGAATAAAAATATGACTCATCAGGGCTAGGTGCGGGCTACCAATAAGAAGGATGATGGTAGAAATATTTCAGCGGAAAGAATATTGCTTGTGGATGCAATTGCAGGATTCATTGCCGAAATTAGTAGGTATTTTTCATTACACAAAACAAAAAAAAAAACAGAACCAAAGACGATGCACTATTTTCCAAAGTATTTCCATTTTCTGTCCCGAATTACGGTAAAACGTCGTTTTAATCCATAAACGCCTGATAAACAGCCGCTTTGCTTCTGACAGTAGTTTTAGGAATAAGCTACGGATTGGGCATATGGTGAATTCCATTTGTAGCCGAAACCGCGTTTAGGATTCTAAACCAGAGTTTTACACGTTGGTGAATTCGGGCCTCAATTAAAAACCAAAATATCTAACTAATCATTTTCTAGACGAAGCAAAACAGTTAATTCGAATATCCAAACTCTTCAGTAAAGTTCATTCCAATTATTTTCAACCGTATACGTAATATTAATATTACAGACTTTTCAAAATCTAGAAAGGGTCACATTTCTGTACTTTTACATTTTTTCAGGTCGGCAATGTTTATGCCTGCCACGGACGAGAAAATGCGTTTCCGTCCCGATTTCCCTGCTTGTTTTTTTTTGTCAAAATTGATGACATTAACAAAAAAAAAGTGAAGGCTGATTTTTTCTAAGACTAATTTACACTATTATTTTGTACCATAAAATCTTTTGTCTCAGAAATTGACGGTTGAAAATAAAATTGTATTCAAGCCTCAACGGAAAACTTCATTGCTGTCTCGAGGTTTAGATTATCTCGACGCTAAGCGTTTCGATAAACCATATAACCTCTTAACCAGCAATGAAGCATTTTCCATCTCAGATTGAAATATACTATTAAATCAAATGTATGTAAAACAAAAATATTCAAAGTCAATTCACTCAAGTTGATGATATTTATGCAATAAAGTTCCATAGTCAATTCATTTCATAGTCATTTCAATCATTGATAAAGTCAAAATAAAACTTGTCACTAGAGTACTTACATTTAAATTATCGCCCTCAAAGTCACTTAATTATTCTGATTTCTTTCGATTATTTAGAGCTCGCACATAATGTTAAACGAATTTAACTGTTCTTTATTTCACAATTTTCCGTTACTTTTACAAAGATTCGATTTAACGCGTTTTCCCGAGGCAACAAAATAAACTCTTCGCGATTTTTATCCGCACTGACTCGTTAGGTAGGTACCTACTGTAGACTTAAACTCAAGACTGAACTGAAGACTTAACTGGACTTAAACTGATTCCAAAATTCCGAAACCGCTGTTTTTATATTTTACCTATGAGCGTGCGGTAAAGTGTACTTTACCGTACGTATTTGAAAATGGAAAGTATCACTTTACCACACACTATGCGGTAAAGTTAACTTTACAGCATAGTGTGCGGTAAAGTTAACTTTACAGCATAGTATGCGGTAAAGTGGACTACAAAGTGTGCGGTAAAGTGCACTTTACCGCATATTGTGCGGTAAAGCAGAATTTGATATTTATAATCAAAATTCCTTTCTTCTTCAGAAAATGGATTCCTGATCATTTCTAAATTTAATCTTATTTCATTAATTAATCTGATTCATTAATTAATTTTATCAATGCTTTTTTTGGAGATGTAGATGCTCATAGGTAAAATTTTGTACCTAACACATGCGAAAAGTGCCTTTACCGCCCTTAACTGCCGTTGCGTGCGGTAAAGTATCACTTTCCGCATTTGTTAGGTAAATAACTATTTCATTCCCCCCAAAATACCTATTTCGGGGCCACTTTACATAACACTGGATATTGACCGTTCTTTTTTTCTAGGAAATATAATTTATTTGTTTAAAACTAATAATTGTCGCAATTTCCTGCATTATCGGGGTCAACAGATTTTTTGTAAGAATATGAGGACGAATAACTCAAAGGATGCCGAAAAACTCGTGTCGGCCATAAATCGCCAATTGAATTATTTTTACCTTGATTTTAATATTTTTATGGATTTGATTTATGAGTTGAAGGTGATTGGACACCGGCTTTTTAAAATTTGAACGTTTATATAAATATTTTAATTAATTTGGGGTCAACGCTAATTTGTCTCATCATTTTCCAGTTTTATTGATACTGATTTGAAATATTGGAGATTCAATTTTTGATTATTTGATTACATTTAATTTTTACTGTTACATTGTAAATTACGGGTCTATTTTTCCCGGGTCATCACAATTCTGTCCTCTCCCGCACATTTATTGTTTTTTAATTGGTTAAGTGCCTTTCTTATTTTGGAGTTTCTTATTTCTGGTAATTCTTCAGAGTCTATGTTAAGTATAGTTCTTTCAGTTCGTTGTTGTGTATGTGTAGAATATAGCTTGATGTAGAATTATTATTCTATGGCTTTTGCTTATTGTCTTTCTGTCATGGACGGTCACGTTTTTCTCGTTTTTTATTTGATTATTCTTGTTTTGCGACTTGAGTATTTGTTTTTAGTACTTTCATGTTGCAGATTTGACTTATTGTGTCTTTTATTAATAGATCAATTGAAAACGTATTTGCAAACTGAACTTAATTACGTAGGATCAACTCATCAAAACAAATTTTATAGACAAATTTCAATAATTTAGAGGATAGTCATAAGAATCCCAAGTCGACAATTACGTTGTAAAAAATATAAATAAGAAAACAAATTACAAAAAAAAAGAAAAAAAAAAAAAAACAACCCAGAAAAAATCATTTCAAAAGAGTGAAAGGAAAAAATAAAACTAAACTAAAACAAAAATAAATCATAGAACATAAAGACTTTCATAAGTCTTCCATCACTCTCCAAAAATAAATAAAGAAAAAATAAAATACTCAAAATGGATAACTCGAACAAACCCTACAAAGAGAGAGTTCGAGGTCACTTTAATACGAGATTTGCTGTGTGCGGTTTGAAATAAACGATAAATGGATAAGTGCATTTTTATAAAGTCTATTTGTTCAATAAAAGTTGTTAATGTTAGTAAAGCGAGTTTCATTCGATCCGGAATCCTTGACAGTATTTCCTATTTTTTCTAAATATTTGACAATTTCTACTTTTCAATAGGTAATATGAAGGATTTTGCATCAACCTTCCCAAAGGATAAAACAACACTCTATGACTTTATCATTATTTCAATATTGCATTTATGGTACATACATGTACCTATCACATTCGTATTTTGCTTTTAATATAGCATCTAAATTAATGGAATGCTAATACAGATAAAACTTCTTTTATTTGCGAAAGTTGCACTAATACACGATAATCATATCTACGTGTCACTGAGTGGATGGAAGTATGTATTCTTACTTTGAAAAAATCATAATGTTGTTAATCTATCCAACAAATTTGATTCAAATTATTATCCACTGTAAAATGTGTAACCACTCCATTTTTTTTCCTATTTTCGGACACTAATTCCCAAACCTATTGAAATATTATTATTCCATAATATTATCTTAACGGCAATCTTTCCATTCCAGATCGTTCGTTCTTAGTCGCCAACTACTCCAAACCGGGACAATGCAACATAATCTACTGTTCGGACGGCTTTTGCCGCTTGGCCGGCTACTCCCGTGCCGAGGTCATGCAACGGTCGGCGTCGTGCTCCTTCCTGTGCGGACCTCTCACCTCCCAGCAAGCCGTAAATGGGTTGAGGGAGGCTCTCCAGAAGGGTGTGGAAAAGCACGCCGAAGTTCTTTATTATCGGAAAGATGGTAAGTACAATATGCACATGATAGTATAAGATTGATTCAGTCGAAATGCGAAAGTGTGAAGCACCAGAAGTCAATTAATTGTAGGTTGCCCTGCCATCTTATTTTTGGTATCTGGTTTGGTTATACACGTCTGGCAAGTAAACATCCTTATTGCCAATTTCAATGCGATAGAATGAAATGTTTAGAAAAAGTCTAAGGTTGAATAGAGAGCGAAAATGATTTCCCCTATTCCACCTCCAGCAAAAAGCGCTGAGAATGCTAGAGGTGGAACAGGGGAAATCGTTGTCGGTCTCTTTTCAATTTTAGACTTTCTCTAGACATTTCATTCTATCGCATTAAAATTGGCATGCAAGATGTTCACTTTCCAGGTGTGTATATATATATATTATCAAAATCCCCGATTACCATAATATATGGTGTAGGGGTGGTTTGGTTATAAGACAAATATTGTTTTTCTAATACAAAAGCAATAAAAATTGATTTTAACAAGGTACTAACTTGCAAAATTAACAGCTAAAATCTACCTTTCTAGCTACAGTAGTTAAAAAAAAATGTTCCTACCTAATTTCATACTTTTTGACGCGAAAAGTAGAACCATAGAATAGTAGAACTTTTTAGCACGTTGCCTTATTTTGATATATAATAGTTATTTATGATATAAGTGCTAAAAGTGACATTTTATTTTGTAAAAAGCGTCGGCGTCGTGCTCCATCCCTTGGACAAAATAAAATCACTTTTAGCACGAATATTATACACTATTTTTTCTACAAACGCACTAAAAGTGGTTACTTTTAGCATTAGTGCTAAAAGTAATCACTTTTAACACCAGTGTCATAAAATGGCATTTTAGACACTGACAACATCCGTTAAAAATGACACTTTTAGTGACGTTTGTAGAAAAAATTACATTTTTTGAAGTTTTGATACCTTATGTTTTACTTTTCTCAATCAGTTACGGAATGGTTATTTGCACCTTATAAGATCGGAAAGTCGCATATAGAAATAGCAATTTTCTCTGTAAGTAGTTTAATAGCCGCTTTACGAATTTGAACAGTAGGTAGCTACAAATACCTACAATATTATTAAACGTCATATTATACTAAGACTGTAAACATTAACTGCCAAGCAGCATTAAATAGCAGATTAAAACTCGCTTCTTTCATTACATTTTTTCAACATTGATAACAATCAAATCCCGTCTTTTTCTGATTTTTACTATGCTAAAATCTTTCTTACTTTTCTCCATTCTGGATCTTTTATGTGACTGGTTTCTACTTCTGCCAATTTTTTACTTTCATCCACTGTCATCTTTATCGCTTTTTCTTGTCAAGTATAAGAAATCCATCATTCTTCAGTTGGTATCTCATTTCCAATAATCAAGTTGAAGCTGGAAGCGTTTAACAATTACATCTCGCTCCTGAGACCTGAAGTGGTCACTTTATTTAAGCCCCATACCTTTAATTAGAGTTAAATATGCTTCTACATACTTTATCCTGTAAATATTCTTCTACCACATCCTCTTTTACGGCACTTATGTCACAAACTGATTCTTTCAACTTTCCACCACATTTATAACACGTTTGTGATTTAAATCTTTGTCCATCTTTACCCTTGTTTTCAAACTATTTATAATAATCCACAGTTTTGTCAGTGGTTTTATTTTAACGTAACCTACAACTTTTTATTTACTAAAACTTCTGCGGAAATGGGCCGTCCGCATTCTGAAACAGGTAAACATGTCAATTTTATTGGAAAGGTATGAACAACCATTTGCTTTCCCTTTGAATCAAAAGATAATTTATTATAAAAATTGAAATAAAACTTGGCCTACAAAAATAATGGTCCGTTTGGCGAGACCTATATTATGAACATGTCAAAATAAAGAGGTTTGAGAAATTTAACAACCCTGATTTTCTGTCAGTTTTTTAATAAAGCTAATTAGAATCAAATCAGAATTATGTGGTGAAAAAGTAAAAATTCATATAGTACTTAGGTATGTTTTTGGATTTTTTCATATAAGTATGGCCCATTTATATTGTAGGCCACATATTCGAGTGCATTATATACTTCATCTAAGAAGACGAAAACTAAACAAAAATGGTTATTTATTAGTAAACAAAACATCGTTAAATTGACATGTTTAAGGCGTGGTCTAGAAAAACTGCCTATGAAAATTATAGGCCAGTATGTCCATTTGATTTCAATTATATTAATTAAACAACTGACTGAAAATAAGCGGGCTGCTGATACATTTTCCGAACCTCTTCATTTTGACATGTTACTGGTGTAGGTCTCTCCAAACGGACCATTATTTTTGTAGACCAAGCTTTATTTCAATTTTAATATTAAATTATCTTTCGATTCAAGTGGAAAGCAAATGGTTGTTCATACCTTTTCACTACCTCATTAAATTGACATGTTTACCTCTTTCCAGAATGCAAACGGCCTATTTCCAGAAGTTTTCGTAGATAAAAAGTTGTTGTCTAGTCTTGAAAAGCAGCCAAAATTAGCCATAAAGCAATATAAAGGAATTATTTTAAAATTAATTAAATGGACCAGTTTGGAATTATTGACGCAACCAATTTTATATAAACAATTTTACATTAGTGTTATTAATTCACTAGCAAATTTGAAAATTGCAACAATCCTGATCAACGCAATAATGCTTATACAAACAACTCCTGGTGGAAAAAGAGCACAAATTCATCGGGTTAACAAACTGGCAAACTGCAAAATCATCACATAGTTCCAAATTACGTATTATATTTAACAATAACTTTTTATATAAATAGCGGCCCATTTCAATTAGTAAATCAGTATAAAACCTCTTCTGGTGTATTACTCACATACTACAACACCTAAGCCTATATCCAGAGTGTGAGGATGCACTCTATACACAAAACCCTTCACAGTTATCACCTCTAGCAGGGCACTGTGAATATACCTAGTGACAATAAGGTAACCTTAGTCAAAGGTGCCTTATTGTCAAAAAACTACTGAGAGGTTATTCCCATATCAAAAGAGAATCCTTTTCATGGTCCTTCGAGCAAAAAGTTGAACAGAAAAAAAGAATAACTCCCTTGAAAGAAGGGAGTTACAGTGAAATTACCAGCAAGCGGTTCAATCAGCCACCGACAACAACAGCCCAATCAAGGACACACCGACGGATCACGTGCACCAGCCACCGCCGTCCATCCTCAACTTCAAAAAAACTTCAACTTCAATCCAACGTCATCCAATTCACAGCGAGCCAACAAATCGTCATCGTTAGTGGACCGAGTCAACCAATCGGTCAAGTGCATCAGTCACCGCCGTCCAAAAACAAGTAAACTTCAACTTCAGCCTCAAAGCTCAACTCTAACAAGCAGACAATCCGTCATCATCAGTAGATAGATACAACCGTTTTCACGAAACAAGTGCACAAGCTCCAGCACCAGCCCACAACAGATACAAAAGTTCGTAAAAAAAACAACTCCACGCAACTTCAGCGCAATGTCTACCGTAGGCGAAGAAATGGATCGCCTTGCGCTGGAACAGCAACAACACGGCCGAGACATGCAACGTATGCTGACAAATATGAAGAAAGATTCATCAAGCCGAAAAACAATCCAATACTTCGAGGGAAAAACCAAATCGGTGGAATCATTATGGACCACAATCCATGAGAACCACAAGATTGAGTTGCCCCACCCACAATTACCACACCGCCAACTACATTGAACAACTCAAGTAGGTCTATACTGACACAGTGGACTACATAGAAGACGGTATAAAAAAAGTCGAATCCCAAACAAAACAAAATAAGATGACATCAAAACTAACAGCACTGCTAAACCAGCTGGAAGAAGTTCTTAACGACATTGTTGCAGAAATGGATGATCACACCCCAATCAACCGCCGTCAGCAGCTCCAATGCAAGATAACCGAGAAATTCAAGCAGATTTCCGACCTATACCTACAACTCGAAATCCAATCGGTCCATAAACCGTACAAGCCCGCATACAAGGCACTTGAGAAATAACACGAGCAGATACTGCTACAGCTACAACCAAATGAATCTATAAGCAATCAACCAGCCACACCGGCATTGCCACAAGTCATGCCTACTGTCATTCACAAAACATCCCCCCTTAGAAAGGTAAGTGCCGTGTTGAGAACCTGTCTATAAGTTTTCAGCGCCTCTAGTGACTGGGGGGATAAGCTTTTGTAATTCTGGATTTATTGGCGAATGCAAAACGCAATTAGGGTTCGTTCGGTATCTTATTCGTTCCGGTGGATCGTTTGCACCATTGTTTGATTCTAGCGATTCAACACCACCACTTTAAAGTTTCTACCATTTTTTGGCATAAAATAATTGTGCCAAAAAGAAGAAACTCATAAAATCGGTAGTGTTGAAGCGCCTTCAAGGTAAAATTGACTAAAAATTAAGATGACAAATTTAGATATTTATTAAAGTTTGAAACAGAAAATATTAAAGAATATGGAATTAATTACAATTATTGCGAAACAGTTTTTTTTCATGTAAGTATACATACATAGGTAGGTAATGCTAGTTAAGTTAAAGATAATAAGGACAGTTACAAGAAGTAATGACGTACATTTAACAATAGCTTGATGAAAAACTTAAATCGTAAATAAAATGACAAAAGAGGTCCTTGTCTCACAATCCAAAATCGTTGTTAATCTAACAAGTGAGGAAAGTGTTTCTGCACGTGATGGAAGTTGCACGAGTGACAACAAAAAGCAGAGTTCAAACAAGCCTTTAAGTCCGGAAAATACACTTTCCGCATGTGTTAGGTAGAAAGTTTATGTAGTTATACATAATATAAAGCTCATTCAAGAAAATGATTTCGCCTGGATGATAGAATAAATATTTTTGATAATAGTCTATACCCTTTACCACTAGCTTTAAGCAAAGACAACGCCAACAACTTCTCGTCCAATGTAAATCGTCTAGCTTTAGGCTTTTGGTTTTGAGTACGGATTTGGCTTAAAATAAA